TCAAGACCTCAGAATTGCTCTTTAAAAATTGATCGGACAAGAACCGAGATAGCATTTCCCTTTGCGACCTACGAACTGACAAAAATTCAAAGCGAATTTCAAGAAAAACAATTTGACGAGTTTCCTTGTAATTAAAGATTACATAAAAAGTAATTCCGGAATGTGGGAACAAATCTTGCCTTTACAACAATTCAATATGCCTGAATTTCATTATTCTGATCGGTCACAAAGCTCGGGAACCGATCGCAACCGAGTCAGTTTGGGTTAAGTTAGGTCACGCAACTAAACTAACTCTCCGACAAAGCTGGAAGTATCACTCAAATTGAAGGTGCCCCAATCCTGAATTTGTACACACTTTTATTGTAACTTCAACCAATAGGACTTTATAGCGTTTTTATCTCTTCCAGCGCACTTTAGGCAGCCATGCTGCGAAAAAACCACGTCTTCTCTTTTACATCCCGTCCCAGGTGATCCCTGTTTACAATAATTAACCTCAGGACGCTTGACCAGAAATTAAACCTGGAACTCCTGATCGTGCGGCCATTGCAACAACCACTATAACACAAGATCCCGACTGATATTCATTAGGCATCACTCGTATGAGGAGCAAGTGTTGTCTAGAATTATTTATCCTGTTGCATTCACCTTAAAGTATGTGTATTTATATTGGTGTCAAAAATATTTGAGCTATCTAGTGAAATTGTGTACTGAAAACAAGATATATGGCTACTGTTTTGTGGCAGTAAGCATTGTCCGCCTTCAAAATCTTGATATGCAATTTTAGTCACCTCGGAGTTGATGAAGTCGCATCAAAAGTATCGGATTAAGACCAAAATGTGTTTTGTGACGTGTGATCTGGTAAAATTCAAGAACCTCACCCTAATCAACGTTTTCTTACATTCCGTCGAGTATAAAAATAATTTGCGTATTGTAAAAAGAAAATAGCTTTTGTGTATTTTCATTTCGTTCCACGTGAAAAAAATAATAGAGCTTTAAATACGGCATTTTCCTATACCTCTCGGAAAGACGTAACTTCATTCCAATGTTGCCAAATTTCCCTCCGCAAATTCCATCTTTGCCAGGAGAATTTCGGGAATTTTTATCCGAAAATATCACTGATATTACCTCTGATCTCATACAAAAAAAGAAAAAATCGGAAGATTTCTGGGGAAAAATTTCACAGGAACATTCTTGTAAAAATGATTTTTTGGATTCACTTCTGCTATCTTAGAATGAAGTTACGTTCCTTCGTCCGAGAAACAACGAATTACTGCAGATATCAAAATATGCGTTTGTCCTCCTGCAGTCTCGACCTGTAATCCTCCTTACACGATTGCCTAGTCACGTGACGGATCAATGTTTCCGATCGATCGATACCTTCAAGACTCCCGTAAGGGCGTCACGCTTTCAATGTCCGGCTCCAACCCTGCTGTCATATCGCCTACCGAATCCCTCCAATTTTCAACATTTCCCTACGAGACATGTTAATCCCCGGTTAAATTTGACAACGCGGGGCGCCATGACTGCTCGTCACGTCATGAGCTGGTTCGCCATGCTCTGGACCCTCCGTGCAACGTTGCCGCGGTTAGTTCCAGATTTTCCAGCACAATATCCCGCGAAATCCAAGCATTTCGGGGATGATGTGACGACTTTCCGCTTTTCCTCGTCACGTCCCGATCGATTCTCACGGAAGATGGACTTTTCTAAAATAATTGGGTTCTAATTAAAGGGATTTATTAATCGCACGTAAGTTTAACACTCGGATCGAGAGGTTGCCAAATCATTCGTAATATTAAAGGATAAGCCGCCGTTTATTTAGAATTTGGAGTTGATTTTTTTTATTTTATAAAAAAACATAGGTATAAAAAATAAAAGTATATTGTATCATACTTCCTATCTGAGGATGAACACAGTATGAGGTGTTAGACGTTGCCAGAATTCTTTTGTTAGAATATGAATTTCGAGGAGATCTCTGAATACCTATTTTTCTTCGAATTTTTTTAAAACAATTTGTCCGCGGTGAGGTCTAAGTCACCTGAAAATTTCAATATGAAATGGACGTATTTATGCTAAACGGAACCAGAGACAGGCGGGAAAGAAGGGGTGTGCTTATTAATCGAGGACCATAAGAATGAATGGGAGTCGTAAAGCGTCGGTGACGTCATCGGCGACAACGCCTGGCAACGCGGTCTGTAACTCATGAGCCCTGTCCACAATGCTCTTTTGTCATGCCAACGGCTCATGAGTGTCACATGCAGTTGGCGCTTATTTTCGTTTGATAGAATGGAATATCCTGCCTTTCCATTTTCCCAAAGGGAATCATTTCCACTTTTACATCATTTCATATCCAGTTTCCTAGAGCGCAGTGCATCTTTTCCACTTGTCCATAGTTCCGTTCAGCAGAAATACACGGAAAAAAAATTGCTGATTCAAGAATTCAATTGCTAAAGACAGTGAGTGCAATGTTTCAACGCAGATTTTACAACAAAAAAATGCTACTTTAACCACCCCCGTGGTTAAATTTGTTTACAATGTGGTTGAAGTAGCATTTTTTTGTTGTAAAATCTGCGTTGAAACATTGCATTCACTGTTTTTAGCAATTGAATCGTTGAATCAGCAATTTTTTTTCCGTGTACGTCCAAATAATCGTAACTATGTTCAAAAATAAACATATCATCGGAGGATTTCGGCAACTCTCGAATGTTCACACAGTGTTTTACATTAGTATGGGAATAAAGACCTGATTTTGGTTCATTTCAAGATATTTTTCAATATTTTCGAAGTCACTCTCAGACACAACTGAATCGGCTAGTTATTCCTCCACAATCGCAAGTGTAAAAAATCCGGAAGCCGGGATCAGTGGCGTGGCGTGAATTGCGATAGATCGATTGTTATGCCATTTAAACCTATGGAAAAGGGTCGATAAACATGGTGTTCGCAGCGAACACCTTAATAATCGATTCTTTACCGTAGGTTTAAATGGCATAACAATCGATAAATCGCAATTCACGCCACGCCACTGGCCGGGATGTAGGGACCCGCAAGGGCGGGAGGAGCCAGAAGAAATATAGAAAGATGAAGATCATACGTTGGAGATAATACCCTTAAAAGGTTTAAACGGTTTTTCCAGCCCGTTTCATACGTCCTACAGCCAATCTCGGTCACATCAATTTGCCTCCCCCCGCCCTCAACCCCGGCGTGAAACTACCCTCGCCCGACCACCCCTCGCCCTCAGACACGAGCCTCTTCCTTTTTTAATAAAACCGAAGAGAAATCTCGGGATCGTCGGTGGCGTGGCATGTTTTGCGATGTATCGATTGCTGTCATTTAAACTTACGGGAAAAGATCGATAAACAGGGTGTTCGCAACGAACACCTAAAGAATCGATTCTTTACCATAGCTTCAAATGGAGAAATATCGATAATCGATCACTCACCCCTCGCCACTGTGATCATTACAATCAAAATCACGATCCTGCCGCCGTTCATCCCCCGTGGAAAATCATCCCTGCAGACGAAATTTAAAGCTCGAGCCTTATGATTTTTATCGCGGGGTTGCTTTAAGGGATGCGTGATCCATGTCCCTGTTTAATTTTGAATAGATAGCTGGATCTAAGGTGGCGCGTGTTTCTTATTTTTCTTCCCTGATAACTGAAAGAGCAGAAATTTAAATTCTGGCAGGCGTTATCAAGCGTTGCTAAGACTGGGCATGTTGTTTCTCCCCCTTATAACAACCCACTCACCCCTGCTTTATGGAATTTATAACGTGAAATTTTCTCTAAATTTTTGTCAAATTTTAATGAAAATAATTGCTATTTTCAAACCAATGAGTTTTCGTTAAAAAAAGGAGCATTCAGCACAATCTCAGCAACACCTGATGGCGCTTACCAGGTTTTTTAGTTTCCCTCTCTCCACTTTATCTAGGTGCTGATCATCCGTGACACCGGTATTAAATCTTCTAATCTTCCTCAAAAATAAATGAGGTAGATCTGTGTCGGAAACGTTCACGCCCCCTGTCACTATGGTCGTAAAATTCGAACGTCTTCGAATTAGAACAGCAAAACACGATCAGTGTATGCTAATAAGACGTCAGAGATGGTGGTTTGGAGGCAGTTTGATTTTATTTCTCTATTTTTGGGCCTTTTTCATAGATTAAATAATAAACAGTCGACTTGATGTTAACTAAATGAGTACCTGTCAATATTGTGGATCAGATTCGACAAAATAAAAGGAAAAGGAAGCTCAATAAATAGCGTCTTTGAAATTCGAATAAAAGTTCCATGAAATAGACAACTATTTATGGACTTGATTGCTCTAAAAACATTCTTTGGTTTTATTTGTAATGCAGTCATTTTGCACGTGTTCTGAAATGCAACTACACTTTTTTTAGATTATTCAGAATGCATGTCACACAATCAAGCATCATAAAACTGCGGCAATGTACTTCCCCCACTTCAAGTTATTCATAAGCGTAAACAAAATGTAACAACTAAATGTATGCATTGCAAAAAGTTAATATCTTATTCAGACGTTACTTTCAAAAATTTTTGTTGCACAAATCGCGTTTTTCCTAAAACTTTGATTTGATAGCACATCACTGAAAAAAAAGTTCAGTCACATGTACCGAACGTTTGGTGTTCCATATCATCTCAACTATTTGGTTTGTCAAACTGAATTTTGGGCTCGTGTAACCGAACGCTCTGCTCATATTATGACCGAGCTTTGTTCCTCAGCTCACTTTACCGGTTGAGTTTGTTTTAATGAACCGAAAGACTGGTTTGACAAACCGAATTAGTTGGGATGACATCAAACACCAAACTATGGCTCATATGACCGAATTTATTTTTTCTCAGTGATAGCATAATGCTCAAATTCGTACCTTGTCTACTATCCATTCTTATTTAATGAGTTTTATCAATGAATGACGAATGAACAATGTTGAGCCTGCCTTTGTTTTGACGTCTACTCGTAGCTAATTGGTAATTGGTTGATGTGTTGCAGGTGCAAACGGGCTACGGCGGAGAGGGCGACAAACGTATACCCGATACCAAACGCTGGAGCTGGAGAAGGAATTTCACACGAATCATTACCTGACACGACGAAGGCGAATAGAGATGGCCCACGCTCTGTGTCTAACGGAAAGGCAAATCAAAATATGGTTCCAAAACCGGCGGATGAAGCTGAAGAAGGAAATCCAAGCGATAAAGGAACTCAACGAGCAGGAGAAGCAGGCTCAAGCCCAGAAAGCAGCCGCCCTGGCCGCAGTTCAAAGTGATCACTGAGAATTGTGCTCCCCTCTCATTCTACCATCCTATTAATTTTAAATTTACCACATTTGCGCCAAGCAAGTAGGTCTGTACAGTAGGCTCTTATTTATTTATTATTTACTTAATTTATTTGTTCATAGTTTCCCCTCGAACATCAATGACTGTCATGTTGGCTCCACGCTTCGAGAAGAAGCGCAGAAAACGCAGGAGAAAAGAAGTGTTGTACAAGTGTTCAAAGTTGATATAAATAATTTGAAAATTTTAATTTTTTTACGTAAAAGAATCAAGTCATTGTGAATTTCTTTGAGATGTTTTCTTTAGTTTTCATTTTTCGCTCGTCAATCGCGCATTGTTATTGTTTTAACTTTTATTTATTTTATTTTATTATTATTTTCATTTTTCTTTTCGTAATTTTGTTTTTTGTTCAAGTTTAGAATCTATTATAATTATTAAATGTAATAAATACGAGAAGTGTTATGTGTCGTTCAACGCATCTTCCTGTAACGGATATGATAAGGAAATATCTCCACGGATATCACCATCGTCGTCCATGGATTCACTGTTCACTAAGGTAAGAAGGCCCTTCTTTTCTCTGGAGATGTTCCCACACATACGTTTGCAATATTTGTATCAGCAGCATCTTTGTTTCCTTAAGTCTCTCCATTTTTTTCCACCCTTATCTTCTCCGAGCCCCAACGTAATTGCTTCCGAGATTCAACTCTCAGTTGAGTACAGTCTATTTAAATTTAAAAATTATTTAATTCATCGTCAGTTTCCCACCAGGGAATGAGTATGTTACTATAATTTGCCGTATTTCATGACCCCATATTTATCGAGCGCAATTTTTAGTACTTTAAAAGAAATACAATCAATAAAAGCAACAAAAAATGAATTATTTGATCCGTTACATATTAATGCTAAAGAAAAAATCAACACAAAACTTTTGTTTTTGAAATGTTTGCACTGTTAAAGAGGAAAGAAAGACATTTGTTGGACTTTTTAATCAGCATTGACTCTAATGATTGAACCTTCAAATAATTATCTTTTCCTGCGTTTGTATGAGAAAGTAATGTACTCCCTGCATTTTTGCATCGTCCTTTTTATTTTATGTTTCTTCTCATATTATTTTATTTTGCTGTGCTTGTAAAGTAAGCGCTCCCTGCTAGAACTCGCTTTTCAAGTAACCGTATATATATCAGTATTTGAATGTTCAAAATATTTTTTATCGACTTTCCCAAATTTTAATTGCTCTTTTGATCTTTGCGGAGCGAGACCGAATACTCAATTACCTTTGATTGATTAGTGCCCTTATACATACTGATTGAAGACCAGACTGATCGGTCTGAGGGTAATCACCTAATCTCGGAAGTTTTTGCTCTAGGAGTTTCGACTTCATTTGCGACCTTTCAAAATACTGCTGCGAGGTACGTTTTGAAAGTTAAACATGAATATGCATTCGTTCACGAGTCAAATATTATACTCAATTGAGGTAATGATACTCCTTTTTGAGGTAGAATCGGAGTGGGTAGGAATATTTTAGAAAATACAATCGAGTGCCAAAGAAACTAACGCATGCTCACGTTCGGTTACTATACTCACAGTTAAACCTAATGCTGCATATTTTTAAGATTTCCTTAGAAAATATCTCCAAGAGAAGGGCCTCTTAATCTTAGTGATCAGTGTGCTCATGAACTGTCTTCTTTTTTGGGTTTCAGACCACGTGAAAGGTTACATTTGTCAAAGAAAACCATTTTTGAGATTAAATTGAGGTGATGATCTCCTCCTAGAATAGCTGTTAATCAGTGAGTGCCAAATGTTTAATACGCTATCATCAAGTGATAATTAAAATACATGTGTGTATGATAAATTGTATTAATTAATGCAAAGTGTTAGCGCCCAACACTAAGAAAAAAAGAAACAAAATCTTAAATTTACCGCCACAAAATATTTTTTTCTTGAATCAATAATGATGTTGCGTTGTGTAAGCAACTTTTTTGCTTATCCCAAGAATATTCCGTGTTTATCCTACAGGAATTCAGCTTGAATCAAGATGGATCATCTTGGCGGTTGATTCAAGACATATCAGCCTTGATCCAATCACTTTTTCAGTGAATATTTTGGACACGCGCTGATCAGCAGATATCATATTATTACAATCTTAATAAGTACTTTTCAGATGTTCTATTACTCATTGTCAACCCGTAATTACTTAACGTCAGCTATAGTTTTGACCCCACCTTAAAACATTTGATTTCTTTTGTCAAATTCATACACTTAAGCATGGCCCTCCACTTTTTTCTCTCAAAAAGTCAAACATCCGTGCCCAAATCAGGGATCATTCTTAAATTTCGAAAGTTCCAGACATTTATTTCGACTCGTAGTTATAAGCTCTGACCATAGGGGCCTGGTTACTTTATGTTGGTGTCTCCCAAGATTATACTTTGACTGACAAATGATACCTTTAAAGAAGAATAACTATGTACATGAAACTTCATCAATCGATATTTTAAAGTATACGAAATTCTCTTTCCCTTTGATTTTTTTTTTAATTTCAGGCAAAACTTGATAATAACTGTGCAACATCAGTGTAGTATGAGTACAGAAAAGCTAAGGATTTGAAAGAGTCCTTTTCACAGAAGCTAAACGTGACTTTAAGTCACTTTCATCATTGCGTCTAGTAAATTTTGTTTTTGCCACAGGAGGAAACTTTTATCTTTCACGCGACACACTTTAATTCTTATTTTCCAATGTTAAGGATGTGCTGAAGGGTTGTCAAAATGATGGTTAAGACCATTGGATGTCTTGCATTTTATGAATGATGATTCTCGATCAGTCATTCGTTAAAAGGGTTACAACTAACCATTGGCTCTGCTCAAAATGTGCAATTGTGTCAGATGACACGCTTCTTAATTTCAGGGCCAATGGTTACACGAACCAAATATTGAACGTTTCCAGAGTTTTATGAGTATGCAGGACCAATATTTTCCTCTTTTTCTACTCATAAACATTCCAATTGCTTACTTTATTTTTCATTAATAAGCTGTGGAGCATAATTTCATAAATTTTACACAGTCGACTCCAAATATGGTAATGCATGAATCCGTAAAAATTTCGAGTCAGAATATCCTACTGTCAGTGAAGTGCCAGAATAATTTTAATATCGTCCTCTCAGTTTTTAAGCATGCCACCACTATTCATCAGCAAATAAAGCAATGGAGCAAATCATATCTTAAATATCCATTATCTCAATCAAAAAAAAAAAAAATAATAAAACAGAGGGAGTCAGATAAAGAAAAGAAAATATTCGAGATCTGAGTTATCTCGTCATGAGCGTCCAGTTACCGTTTCGTAAACTGCCAAACTACTGTTTTATGAAGTTCTTTTTGGCGGTGTATTTCGAAGCCAACTTTTATGCTACTTAATTAAAATTCTCGTCAACATTTTAATATCCTGGAATCGTATCCATCTTGGTTTAAGAAAATAAAACAAGTGCATGAGATCAGTGAGATAAGACATTATTGTTCGTGTCGTTTTTCTTGTGATAAGTGTAAATACAACTGTAACTGTAATTTTAATATTAGGTTAAATCATGCCAAAGTTTAAATACAATACTGATAGATATAATAAGCAGAGAATGTGTTTTTCTATCTGCAAGTGTATTTTAGACAGTTTTAAAATGCGTCATCCAGTATGTAAATAAAATAAAACTATGTCAATGAAGATCAAGCTTCCATTCAGTTATGTGTTGAAAATAAGCTTAGTATTTTTCTCCCTAAAAATTGCAATTTTGGCTACAATTTAGTGTTTGAACGAGGAAGGAATTTCATTTTTTTATCAATTTCGACTTCTCGAGTAGTATAAATAACAGCAAAATGACTCAACAAAAAAGCTTATTTGTGAATTTTAAATAATTACTTCAGATATTTGCCCTGAGTTGCTCCGAAAAAGTCAAGTTTTGATTTTACCGGAAGTCATATGGGAGCTTTTTTTTTACGAATGTCAGAGCTATTTCTGTAATAGTTGCTACTCTGAGTAAACGTCCTTTCGTTTTTTATATTAATCTGCTATTTTCAATTACTATTTGATATTCGTAAGGAAAATGGTCAAAATAAGGATTAATTATGATGAAGGAAGCAATAGCAAACATCCGTGGAGCCATCAAAACTCATTTACAAAGTAAACCAATTTGCATGTAATTTCCAATCTCGTCAGGATTTGGCAATGTGCTTTGTATCATTATACGTACTAGGCTAAGTGAAAAATTTAGTATTATTAAGCAAGCAGAAGCACATCGCCATTCCCACATTTTCAGCGATACCCGATTATGAGGTGAATCGCAACTTTTGATCTCATGGCTTTTAACTTCATGGAACCATAATTGGACGTATTTCTACCAAACGGAACTATGTTATTGCGACGTGAGCCCTGTCATGCATACATTCTTATAGGTCTCAAGGCTCCTGTCTTAATGCACTTAGTTCTGTTTGATAGAAATACGCCCAATTGATCGAAATACACAAGAAAACCAGCCCCGTAAGCCCAGCAAATGAAAGTATTATCTTTTAAAAAGAATTGACCATTATGGGCTTACAATATCCATCTTTATTGCTTGGAAGCACAAGTCACTTATAATCCAAAGCATAACTCAGCTGATGAACTGAAAAGACGCATAATCAGTTTTGTCAGTTTCAAGCTAGTAAAAAAATTATGTTCACGTAAGTACCTACATGTTTCTGAAGTATGTGATTGCAATTTCATTTAATTAGTTTTTTATTTAAAATTTTGTACATAACGCTGGCAACCTGTAATTAAAAAGTTTTCAATGTTTCGTCGTATGTTTCACATAAGCTTTGAAGTGATAATATTGTGCGATTTGTTTTCCCCTGTATTTTAATTTTGTATTAATTTATTTTTAATGTATTATATAATTGTTTTTATTATTTTTCGTGTTTGAAAACAGTACACATTATGTTGTGATAAGAAAATGATCTGTACAATGAATAATAAAAGTATACGAACTTTCCAAATTATTTGGAACTGATAATTAATTAAAATCGAAACTGATTTTTACCTACAGAAAAAATTAATGGTAATTTCAACTGATGCAATTTGAAATAAATATAACTCTGCCAAAAAATAAATAGATACTTAGAATAAAGGAAAGCACTCACATTTCACGTAAGCGATTTACCTGTAAGCTCAAAGGCTCATCTGTCAACCAAAAAAATTTCGGTGTGATTAGACTAAATTTGTTTTCCGAAATTATATTGTCATTCGGGTATGTACAAGTTTAGACCTCAACAAAAGGGTAAAAAAAGAGAAAGTACAAACGTACAAACTAGGAAAGATAAACAGCTACAAAAGTTGAAGTTTTCTACTGGAATACGACAGAAACATGACTTAGTTACCACTTTAGGATGAGTAGTACATCTAGAAAATTTAGTACCCATCGATAAGAATAACTGCACAATGTATATTAACTGACTGTAATTTTGAAAAAAATGAGTGATTCATCATGATACGATTCTAGTTCACATTGAAAATGTGTCGGGTGAGTCGATCTTTAAATGAAATTCACAAATATTGTACATTTTTATAAAGTGTAATATATTTTATCGCTTATAATTTTCTTTCTTTTGTTCATCTTATGCAAATATCTCTCTGTATGTTTTAAAATAATACAATTTTGAAACGAAAGCAAAAGTGTTGAGTTATATTTTATCAAATAAATGTGTTACTTGTATCTCAAACTGAACTCTTTTTGTGTTTTTAATGATCCTACTGGAGTGATACATGTTTGACATGGCACTTAATTCAAAATTTTCCGAGGAACTGGACAGCATGAACTAGCATTTACCCAACATTAAAAATTCTTGATTATACCATCATCTTTATTTATTTAACTTCATTACATAACATATTTGCGAATATATCTGTAGAGAAGAGTCTAAGAAACGCAGTAATGATTTTGGAAAAATCGAGTTATTTATATCCTGGGACTTACAAAATAATGCATTATTGAGTGTTAAAGAAATTAGTCATGGCATGTATACCATCCTGTACAAGTAATAAAGAGTTTTTAAATTTAAAAAATACGTTGCAGACAAAGAAAGCTGCACCGTGGTTTTCCTCTAATTTTTCGATTTAGTCAAAAATTTAGTCACGGGTTTTTTGCCCTAACTAAAGATATATTCTTTAAAATCAAAATGGAAATTCTCAAAATAGGTCAAGATATTATGTAGATCCCACATCTCAGGATGTGACTTCAGAGGAAACAAGGCCTCACGAAATGAAGCTCAGCTGATTGAGTAAATTTTGAGTAAATGCCTAATTGAGGGGCTCGGAGGACAAGGCTCAATTTTTTTTCAAAAGCTGCACTTATGCGACTTGTCCTGCAAGCCCCTCAATTGTGCTGCTTGTTTGTGACAGTTCGGAAGCGCTGAATGCAGGAATGGTATTCGTGGCTACAGTGTCTCAGATACTCAGCTAAAGTTTTATCTAAAATACTTGAAGCAAATTTATGTTATTATTTGCAAGTTTTTCTGAATATTCTTTATGATTTTATACAGTGCTGAAATGGTAAAATTTAAGAAAATTCACCCAATGGTTTTCTTTCTAAAATAAAAATCAGCACTGAAGATTCTGAAACACCGCAGCCAAAAAATGTCTTTTTTGAATCCAACGCCTCAAAATAATGTGTTAGAAAAATTGCTAAGTGGAAATGATAAGAGGAGAAAAAGTGAAGGAAATCGGCCAAAAATGCTTGACTTTTTCGGCTGCAGCCGAGGAGGCTGCGAAAGAGGAGGACAGAGAGGAAAAGCGAGCGAGGTGTAAGAAGTCCATGGGGATGAAAATTATGTAGAATCTGATAGCGCGGAGGAGGAAGTAGATTAACACATTCTGAAAAGAAGCCGGGGTTCATTAAGTCTACGAACTTTGGCGCGAATACATATATATAAAGCCATCTTTTAATAATTGCAGCCTTATCTTCACCTGAGATACAATTTATTTATCCATCGGGCTCGCGTTTCGATCCTATCTCGCCGCTAAGATATTAAACTTTTCAATTTATGTATCGGTGAAATACAATCCCCAGCTACTCCCGGCTTCGGTGTTCGCGGATGCAGAGTTGTCATCCCGAGGGATATTCCCGGAAATTCAATGATCGCCTGCCGTGAATATGTGAAGGGATGAATCGGCTGCGCTGTGTCTGCTACCTCCTTCGCATTGTTCAGCTTAAACTGATCCCGGCCAGAAACTGAGGGAGAACAGACCGAATCCATTTTTCAATTTGTCGATTTTGATCATGTAGGATACGCTGTATAAGAATTTACATTCTGTTGTGAAACCAGGAAGGTGAGGAAAATATTGGGGACACCCCCCCCCCCCCCCAAAAAAAAATATTGGATGCAATACGTAAGCAAAAAGATATAAGTAAAAAAATTAAAATCTAACAATAAGATGAAGTATTATTAACAAAAATCAACACGGCAATGTAGAGAAGGCGTGAACTAGACGATTTTACTGAAGCTGTCGCTGCAATTTTACTATTTTTAAGAAGAGAAATTTCGTTGCAAATTCCATCATTAAAAAAGGGCCCAAATCATGACTTCCGAAGGATAAAAAAAGGAAGGAAAATATAAAAAAGGCAAAAAAAGCCAGTTATCAATTAAAATTCAGAAATCAGATTCAAAACTCAGGAAAGGAGATACAAAGAGCAGCGTAGCAGCTATTTGAAGCCGAGCAGCGGCGCGAGGCATGAATAATCGATCATACTTCTCCATTTGAAGCCATTGTAAAGAATCGATTATTAAAGTTTTCGTTGCGAACTCCCTATTTATCGATCCTTTTCCATAGGTTTAAATGGCAGATCAATCGATATATTGTAAAGCATGCGTCGTCACTGAAGCCAAGTAAGTATCCGTTCATCTCATATCTTTGTTTTAAATGCACGCAAACCTATAAGAGCGATCTATGAGTGCATGCCCACTAATCAATCGAGGTAATTGAGTATTTTCATCGTATTTAAATACGATCACAAAAGCACATCATCATTTTGAATATTTTCCACCAACTATAGCTATGAAAAATTTAGCATGCTTTCAAAAATAGTCTTTGATGTTTGCCTTTGAAGTTGATCTTGTGTCATTCAGATATGAAAAACACAACCTTAAAAGAACTGCTTGCATTTCACCATGATACATCTTATCAACTGGAGATGTTGTGATGCTCCATTGAAGCGTCATGCTCGCGTGCTCATTATGACCATTTCGCCCAGTGGCGTGGCGTGAATTGCGATATATCGATTGTTGTGCCATTTAAACCTGTGGTAAAAAATCGATTATTAAGGCGTTCGCTGCGAAAACTCTGTTTATCGATCATTTTTCATTGGTTTAAATGGCATAACAATCGATTTATCGAAATACACGCCACGCCACTGATTTCGCCTCTCATCCGCTTGGCCGCTGTATTCCTCCTTATTGTGGTCTTCGCTCATTCTAATAAGGTTTCCTCAAATTATGTCTGTCCAGAAAATGTAATATGTTTCTGAGATCCCCCAAAAAAATGAGGGACGTTGCATCACAGGGCCGGATTTACCTACATGCCGCCCATGGGCCGCCTGCATTTTTCTGCCCCCTTCTCATTTCCGAAACATCAATAGATCGTCTTTGACAGTGGTTCGATGTATCGTTTGGTTCAAAACAATAGAACATAATCTCAAACAAAAATTATAGGATTTAATTCGGAAACGCTGAATATGAGAAAATTCCTAACAATTTCACTTTTCGTTGCCATTTGGTACTCGAGAGAATAAAAATTCGATCACATAAGACCAGTTACCTTAGATTTCTAAATTGACTTTTGAGGCTTTGGTTACATATTGAACCAATCGATATCAATATAATCTCACCTGTGTGATCTGTCGAATACAATCTATAAAAACCATCAAGTGAACGTGCCGGTGGGGGAGGGGTGTATAAGACGCGTTTACTCGTGTTGGGCACATTTTTTGTAAAAGCCCTGTCAAGACTAAGAAAAGTTCAGTTCCGTAAACCCATCCCTGTTTGGACAAGGTCTACCATTTATAAAAAAGAACGAAACAATTATGAAAGAACAAACATAAATGTAGTTAAAAATTTTAACTTCCACCGCCGCGCCGACCGCACTATGCTGATGCAATGCGTGAGGTATTCATGCAGTCTTGTAGGCGCTATGCGTTTCACGCCGACCGCTGCTGACCACACTGTTTGGCGCAATGCGTGAAGTATTCATGTAGTCTTGTAGGCGCTATGTGTTTCATGCCGACCGCCACTCCGTTCCAGGTCAAATTGCGTGTTTGGTTTCTCTCTTGACTCGACTAATTAGAGGTGTTGTCTCTTGTATCACCGAAAGACGACAAAATTAGAAATTACTATACTTTTACTCTCAGGAAATGAGAGATTTTGTCACCTTTTCTCGTTTGTAATTTATTTTCTGAATCCGATTGTTTTCTCTCATTGTTTGATACCTACATTAAAAAAAATTGCAAAATTTGCCGCCCCCTAAATTTTGCCACCATGGGCCGCGGCCCATGTGGCCACCCCCTTAATCCGGCCCTGACGTTGCATGCAAATGATTTCCTGTTTCCTTTTATCACAGCGAAATTCACTCAAATCACCAAGTAAGACATTAACTCAGTTTTGAAACCGACCTATCTAGATACTAGTGGAAGATCTGCCTTCATTTCTATATTCAAGGAAAAATTTACGAAGAAATCGTTGTTTCAACCACAAATTCCTCAAGGTGCTTACATTTAGAGCGTTTTGCCACCTCAAACCATTTAATGTGAAAACTTTATATTTTTTCATTGGTCTCCAAAGCTCTTAGGTCTCAATGTAAAAGAAGAAACAAAAAATTGCGGCAGAGCTGGCAAACATGAAATGCCAGTTTAAATTTCCAACTTTTGAAACGAAGGTCAATACAAGACTCGATGCTTACTTTTGCTGAGAATAACGCTTTTTTCTGTATCATTCACTTTTCTTTCAAAACCACGAATTCTCCCATGCTGAGTTTCTTAACATTGGACCCTGCACTGGTAAAAAAAAAAACCTCTTGAACCAATGCCGCGGTATATTGACTTAAGAGTGCAGTTTCTTGTCGCCGGATTTAAGAGTCTTGAGCTTTTGTTTCAAGCGGATTTTGCATTGAAACAAGAGTCCAGACTCTTAAATCTGCCGACAAGAAACTGCGCTCTTGAACCAAGAGGTTTTTTTTTACCAGTGTGGGATCTTTCCAAGAGGCCTAAAACTAATGAACCGATGAAACAGTGACGAAGACATGACAATTCTCTTCCTTCTGGAATACCCAACTCTCGCAGGACTCTATTTTCGCGACGATTACCAACACCGCGAACGTCTTATAAGTGATAGCCGGAAGGCAAGAAATAGATCACAAAATGTGAGGTGCTCATGATCTCCTGAGAAGCAGCGGGCTCGCGAATCCACGACCGGCGACGCCGAACCGCCCCGAACGCCCCGAAAATCCCCGACGAACAGCGCGGAGCGTGCTGCAACCTGGCGGCGGCGCCGCGAAACCAGAGAGGCCGGGCAAAAATATGCAGCTAGGATGGGTAAACATTGTAGATTCCTCACTACAAGTGCCCGCTTATTTGCATGATGCTAACGTCTTAATACCCTTGCGTCACAGGGGAGCCATTGCGAGATCAGGGTAAATATCCTGGATTTCCCCGCTCGAAAAGGGGGCTTTCGCGCTTGA